TTAGCCCTAATGGAATCGCTCTGGGTAACCATGTTGTATCACGTTAACCCATATCTACCCTTAATTAGCCATGTCGTTCCACGTTAATCAAGATCTACCCTTAGTTAACCATGTTGTACCACGTTAACCCTCATCTACCCTAAGTTAGCCATGTTTTTCCATGTTAATCAACATTTACCCTTAGTTAACCATGTTGTATCACGTTAACCCATATCTACCCTTAATTAGCCATGTCGTTCCACGTTAATCAAGATCTACCCTTAGTTAACCATGTTGTACCACGTTAACCCTCATCTACCCTAAGTTAGCCATGTTTTTCCATGTTAATCAACATTTACCCTTAGTTAACCATGTTGTATCACGTTAACCCATATCTACCCTTAGTTAGCCATGTCGTTCCACGTTAATCAAGATCTACCCTTAGTTTACCATGTTGTACCATGTTAACCCTCATCTACCCTAAGTTAGCCATGTTCTAGCACATTAACCCTCATCTACCCTATGTTAACTATGTTGTACCACAGTAACCTAATTATGCATCTACTCAAAGTTAACCATGTTCCACCTCGTTAACCCACATTTACCCTGAGTTGATCATGTTCTGTTAAGTTGACCCCTATCTACCCTTATGTAGCTGGAATTCTGATCGGATTGTTGATGTTCACTAGATATAACATATTTTGCAATTAAACGAAATGGACGGCCATTCTTTTATACCTCTTTCAAACAATATATCTCTGAGCCAGTTTGGTCCGATTACTGTGGACGAGATTGATAACAGGGGGTGATGAAAGCTTGTGGTCTTTCATTCCTGAGCTTTTGTAAGTTACCTTCGTATTTTTCATTGTTTAGCGGAATGATTATTTGACAATTAGTAAAACAGACTGAAACTGTTCTTTTTTTCAGTGTGAGAAAACACAAGTATGAAGTGTGAGTAGTTTCGTGCTACAGAAATCAGGTCTCTGGCAGGGACGACGACAAAAACAAATATTAATTAAAAAACACAAATTAGCGTTATAGCTATAAACTTTATGGAGTTCTTGTTGCCGTCGTCGTTATTGAGGTTCGTATCAAGAAATGGTCTATTGTTCCGGCTCAACTTCACACATTAAGTAGTAAACAACAGTCCTTTTGTTCTTTGTAGCGCTGAGGGACTTTGGCCGAAGCGACGCGAAAAAGTTCGTGACTAATCGGAAAAAAATTTTTGGCATCACAATTGAGCTATTTCATCATCATCATCATCATCGTCAGCATCATATATGGTTCAAGCAGGTTGAATTTATTGGCAACTGTGTAAGCTGATGTGGACCTGCTGTTTTCCCACCCAACCCACCCCAGGGGAGGACATCCAGCACACAGTAATCTCGTGCGTGGGAAATTAACGTCTCTTACCCCTTACCCTTTAAGAGACGGGACCTCCGGCTTTACGTCCTATCCGAGAAGACGAAACAATGTGAGTGAAGTGTCTTGCTTAAGGACTCAACGTTAAGCCCCAGCCAGGACTTGAACCCGGGCCGTTTAACCCAGAGTCCAGCGCACTGACCATTAGAAGAGTAGGTAGCGCATATTTGCACACGACAGGTAAATTGTCACTGGAGTACCCCAAGAGAAAATTAAACGCTGATTTAGCCGCTTCGGAGAAGTGGGTAGCGTAACTTTGTCTCGTCGAGTCAACTCTCAATGGTCTACGCCAGGAAAAAATTAACCGCTAAGGTGGCAATGCACACATGGAGAATTCAAAATACGTTATGTGTCTCATTCAGACTACCTCTCTCCATATATATCTTTCTCCAGAAACTGTCATAGTTCTAAACTAAAGTCGTCATAGTTCTAAACTTAAGTCTAGTCTTTCCGAGCGTTTAAATTTCCCGCTCGTATGCTAATCGGAAACTTCGACAAATCCCTCGTCTGTTCTGAAGCTGTTGCGCCATTGTTCAAAAATGGCCATATAGGATCATTTTTCGCTTGTCTAACAAAGCCTATTTTTATCAAAGTTGAGCCACTTTTCTTGATACGAGGTTTCTCGGAAAAAGTCCTAAAAGTGTGTCAACTAGAGCCCATTGCAGTCAAGTGAAATTTGATTGAGGAGATTGCTGCAGGACATAGTCTGTTCTTCATGTAATATATCAAAAACGAGTACGAGTGTTTCATCGGGGGTTTCAAACACCGAGAAACAGATGAAAGCAGGAGGCCTGCGGCCTCGTGCTTTTATTGTTTCGAGGTCAGTTTGTAACCCCTGATGAAACACGAAGCACGAGTTTTTGGTATAGCTTCTGAAACGAGTTGCCGATTATTGTTTGTAAATAATAGCTAGAGAATGTGATAAAAACGGTTTCGTTGGAATGTTCCATTTGGGAGTTAGCCAACTTATTACAGTTTATCAATTCAGTTTACTGGGCGAGATGGTGAGTCAAGTTCAAGGTTTCGGATTCCCCAAACTTCTGACGAGGAAAACGCGTCTATTATCAATTCTGTTCCGAAATCTACGGTTTACAAGAACAAATAGGCGATACAGATCATGTCAGCTCAGTATTTCAGGGAGTAACTTTCGATAAATGTATTGTTAAACTCGTCATAAATTCTACGAACTGCGATAACATGTGAAATACCCAACTATTTTGTTACAATCTTTAAAGGAAATAAAATTTTGTTGTTTGCTTGAGATGTCATTTACTTCAAATTAATTTATTGATTAGTANATTCCTTCTTATTACAAGCGTTATGTCGACGATACGCTTGCAATAATGCCTGGACTCGATGTAGCTGTAAGTTTCCTCAATGTACTCAATGGACTCCACCCTAGTATTCATTTCACTATGGAACTTTCCAACAACGATTCAATTCCTTTTATTGGAACGTTGATAACAAAGAACGGCAACAAGCTGGAGACTCAGGTCTATCGTAAACCTACGAACACGGGCCTTTTACTTCACTTTCAAAGTCACACCGATTTGCGCTACAAGAAGTGTCTTATCAAAACAATGGTTCATCGTGCAAAGGAATTGTCCTCTACGCATCAAGCATTCGTCGATGAGTGTAGGCATCTAAAATCTATGTTTCATCGCCTTGGTTACCCTAGTTCTTTGGTGAACTTTATTATCGACAAATGTGATTATTCCTCTACACCAGATACTAAGACAAAATCTGTTGAAACTTTAAGAGTCAGTATTCCTTTCAAAGATCAAATCTCAGTGAACATTGCCAAAAGACAAATGCGCGATCTCAGTTCAAAAATTGGCATTGATGTACAACCAGTCTACACCAGTAAGAAACTTGAGCAGGA